TAACTATGGGGAGAGGTAATAAAATAAAAATCACGTCGAGAACAACAACAAAATTTTATAAACGAAAACCTCTCCCCGAGCATTGCTATTATATTATTTCCCTGTCAATGTTCCCATCTTCATTAAAAGGCGTAAGATGGCAACGACCAAATATCTGTTCTTGAATTATGAATAACACGAATGGATTGAAATATTTGATTAAATGATCTCAAAATAAACCTTCATTTCGGTGCAATATTGAAATTAGCTTGAATTCTTCTAACCTATGAATATTGGTTGACCCAACGGGTCACAGTGGTCAAGTTATTATATATAAATATAATAGGCCTAATTCCACAGTTTTACCGCTTACCCCAAACTTCTCTCATGCAGTAAAACAATAAAACTGTCAGAGAGTACAAGAATGACATTAAAATACAGTTTACATTTCTACTGGAAAAAACTAGGTCAACTGCTGTCCAAAAACTATATAGACAATGATACTTCTGGATATGTATATACAACGGAATGTAACGATTGCAAAAGCTGTCATATTGGTGAGACAAACAAATAACTTTCTACTCGTTTGCGGGAACATATATAATCTCCATCTGATGTTTTTGAAGACATGTCTGGGAACAACCATTCTTTTGATTCTTCTCAGGTAAAATCCTTAGCAGATAAGACAACATTATTAGACGAAAAATAAAAGAAGCTGTATTAATAATAATAATAATAAAACCTATTCTTAACAAATACAGAGATGTTCATTTATATTGTTACGTCTCTAGTCGTTTGTTAATTATCCTCAGAAATTCTTTCCGAGAACTTCAGCGATACAAGTCATTTCTCAAATAAAACTAATTTACTCTTTCTCAATTCAACTTTGCAATACACTTAATTTCCATAGTCACCTTAAATTAAACACACGCTATAATTTACAACGAACTATTCACGCACTTTATTTACTACCGCGCTTGACTCAATTGTCCGGCTATATCTTCAATCTCTCTGTCTGCTATACAATTCTAATTCCGATTAATAATTTCGTTTAAACGGGCGCACTTATATACAAGAATAGAGGGCGCCTAGCAAATACTGGATTATTCTATGTTCCCCAATCTTTCTAGAACTCATTACGTGTTACCAGCGTCACGTAACTTCTGCTGTCATAACAATATCTTAGTGGTCCGAGCATGGTTTATGGTTAACATGCTTTGACTGTGAATCTGATAATTCACTGTTCGTATCCTGTCTTCTAATGTTTTAAATTAATAAAATTTTATAATTATAAATCACTTTTATTAAAATAATTTTCTTAAAAGTTATTTTATTTTAGTTTCACATACCACTTACATAATTTTCCATTATTTTTACAAATTTACACTTTTACACATATGGAAGAAGTCTCAACTATTATTGAGTCTAAACTCACACTAAAGGGTGATAATTTCACCTTTCAACAAGAATAGGGGTGTTTATTGGAATCACACTTTTTTTCTTGGAGTGCATGTACTATTTGTTCTCAAGGTGAGATAAGATATATTCAACTTCCTTCTTGTTATAACCCTTCCATCCGCAGAATCACCCTAGTAGCCTGAACCCTTTCCAACAAGTCAGCATCCGATAAGAAGCCCAAGACAGTACACAATGTTCCAAACGAGTCTTAAATGTGGATTTTTTTATAAAGAGATAATTACTTCTTTTGACTCGTAATCAATATGCCTATAACTAGGTATCAATGAACATGGTAAATTGTTATTCACTTCTTGATCCTGTAATGTAAGAACAAACGAAAGACAGAGACATGAAAATACCGGAAGAAAGTTTTATATATATCCAAAGGATAATCACACAAATTTATTCAAGGAGCAGCCTACATTTCTGTAAGATATCATATAATAAGCACCCAAGAAGTCATCGTATGATAACGTATTGTTATGACAGCTGAAATCAGATGACTTTTCCTGGCAACTGTAGTCTTTTCTAGGCACCCTCTTTTTAATATATAAGCCCGGCAAATAAAGCAGAGAGATAATTGCATAGATAGAGAGATTGAAGCTAGAGATAATCGAGTCAAGTCGTAAGTAAAGTGTGTGTGAATCCCTGTGAATTGTAGCGTGTTTTTATAAAAGTAGTTAAGTTAAACTGACTGTGGAAATTCCGTGTATTGCAAAGTTGTATTGAGAAAGAAATAGAATAAACTAG